CCCCAATCCTGCCTTTTTATCCTCTGTCCACTTCTTGGTTTCGCCCCGTCATTTAGCGTTTTCTTGTATTTTTTCCGCCTCTCTCTTTATTTCCTGACCCCTCTGTATAGTCTCCATCATCCTTGCTTGTTTTAATTTACATAACACTCTCTTCCTGTTACTGTGCTTCCCAAGATTTTTCTTTTTTTATTTGACCTTTACGAGAATTTGCATAGGGGACAAATTTAGGGTTGCACATCATTTTTCATGACCTTAGTCTTTGAGTAATGGTAAATACCTTCCCCTGGTCATTTGTCTGTTTCTTGCTTCTTTTTTTGTTTCGTACGGCAGAAGTTTTTACATTTATTTTTATTGAGAAAGTGAAGCATGCAGAAGAAAAGAGACTAATAAGCAACTTGTTTCTGTTTCGACTTGATCTAAATCTCTTCCTTGCTTTGTTGCAGCATCAGAGGGTTCACAACAAAAACAAGGTGAGATGTGCTTTTATAAAACCGTTTTATCCTGTTTAACAAGCTTTTACTGTCATTCTGTTTTAAATCTGCTTTAATACGTTTATTCTTGTTTTTTTAATTAAATTTAATTTAGTTTTTTGACGGTTGATGTTTTAGCGCTGCTCTTGTTCCTCATGGAAAAGTTTTCAGTCATTAGTGGAGTTGTGGAGGAAGTGTTGAACCTGCCAGGGCAGCGTTAAAACAAAATAAAGTTTTCTAAGCTCTACGCAATTATTTTAATTAAAATTTTATGAAAGACGACTGTAGTGTGGTGATTTTTGTTAATGCTTCAGCCAGGTCCGAACCTTCGAGCTGTGTTAAATATCTTAACCCTCTGTGGTACAATGTTGCCATTTGGCAACAAACCTTTTGAGTCCTTTCCACACACACAGTGCCTCCACTTTTAGGATGTAGTGCAAAAAAAGAGGGATGGCATCCTCACAGAACCAACAGCAGTGATTACATTTGTCCCATGAGAGGAAATTTTGACGTCTTTTTTTGCAGACCTTTGCAGGGAGGAGCCTCACCACTTAACTCCTCAAAAATCATGAAAAAAAGTATTTTCTTTACATTTTTTGATGGATAAAAATACAAACTCAACAATAAGTGAGTTAAGTTCACTATTCTGTGGTTTATTGCACTTTATTTGATCATTTAATAATATTAAACTGGTAAAACGTGGATGTTGCCGTATGGCAGCACTGTACAATGTGTTCAACATGTTGACAATATGCACTGATCTTCTACAATCTGATTTAATAATACATTTTGTGAGTCGTTTCCATATTGCATATGATTAAAATTAGCACTCTTTTCTTCCATTTACAAAATGAATACAACAATATTTTATAGCTTCTTATAAAAGGAAACCATTAACTCTTAGTGCTGTTGGGACTTTTAAGACGATAATCTGAGTTGTTAAATAAAGGTTTTTACAGTGATAAACCAAATTCTCTTGTTTTTAATTATTTCCACTATGGGACAGTGTTGACATATGGCAATGTCAACAAAAAATTACTAAAAAAAGAAAAAAATTTTTTTAAAATGTCCCTTGATCATGTTTACTTAGTCTATTTTATGTAAAAAAAAAAAATCCCAAACATTTTTTTCTAACTGCCATCAATATGCGTACCGTAAAGGGTTAATACTTTTACCTTTTATTTTTTATAATGTTTTTCTTTATTTTTCTTGGTTTCAGAAACGAAGCATCTAAAGAGCATTTCCTCACCGAGGACGCCGTCTCTTCCACTCGTCCTCGTCCTCTGGCTGATCACCTGATTGGTCCGTCCTGTCACTGACCTGTGGTGACATCATCACATGTTCACCTAAACAACCTGTGCTCGGAGAAATAAACACAATCCATGCCACATTTAAGCTTTTACAAATCACTGCCTTGTTGTTGTTGTTGTTGTTGTTGTTGTTGTTGTTGTTGTTGTTGTTGTTGTTTACCAGCGTTAAAAACACTTCTTGTCCAGAGCTCAGGGACAGACACCGAGTCATCACGATGCAGAACTCGTTTTCTGCTCCAGCTGCTAAAACAACAACTGGGATCTGATAAAGAACTGTTGGGAGTTTCTACATTTGTTTCAATTTTTAAAGTTTTTTTTTTACATTTTGTTTACTTATTTTAAATGTTTGTTTGTTTTTTTAAACCTGCCTCCAGTAAAGGAAAAGTGGCCAAATTAAACCCAGAGGAGTGTGAGGAGCGGCTCAGGTTAGACGTTTTATTATTTTATTTTCAGATCAGTTGTTGAACAGATTAATCTTTAACCACCTGTCAGCATCAGTTAAATGACATTTGTAAAGTGATAAAAGGAGGAATATTGAGAAGAAACTGTGGTAAAAGGAGGAGACTGGGTTGCTGCGCCCCCTGCTGGGATTAAACTGGTTGTACTGGAGTTAGACTGGTTTGGCCCAGAAGCTGGAAACGACGGGTCGGCCCGTTGTTCTGCCTCCTGCTTCAGAACAAATCTGTGGGATTGTGGGTAAACAGAGCAGCAGCTTCACTGCAGAGGTGACAGATGTGCACACAGGCTTTGTTTTTGTTTTTGTTTTTTACCTATTTTTGTTTGTTTTATTGTACATGTGGCAAACTTGAGATGTAAAACTGTATAATTCAATCCAAACACTGTAGCAACAATGAGTCTGTGTTCCTAATTAGCAAAAATAACCAGAAAAGGTCTGGTTAGGTGTAAGCAGGAAGTCATTTATTTTCAGGAAATATAAATTTCTATTTTTGATAAGCTTTTCTAAAATACATTTTGTAAAATTAATTGATTTGTTTATTAAATTTCAC